ACGGTAAACACGTTCTGCTCGAGATCGTGTCATCTTTGGATAGGATAGTCGTATCATCTGCGAACATAACACTAGTACAGTGTTTCATGATACGCGGTAAGTCATTAATATATATTAGAAATAGAACAGGGCCCAATACAAATCCCTGTGGAACCCCTCTTAAAATGGGAGCCAATTGTGACTCCACATTATCGAGAAACACGCACTGTAATCTGTTCGTCAGATATGAAAAAAATAAGGCAAGTTCCTTTCCCCTTATGCCATAGTACTTCATTTTTTCCAAAATAATATCAATGCTTACACAGTCGAAGGCCTTAGTGAGGTCACATAATACCGCAGTAGTACTCGAGCGCTCGTCAAAGCCACCGACTATGTAATCAATTACTTTTGCGACTGCTCCTATTGTAGATCTATGCCTTCTAAACCCAAATTGGGCTGGCGAGAATAAATTTTTATTTTCAAAATAGTTAACTAATTTCTCTTTTAGCTTTACTTCAAATATCTTACCGATAACAGGTGTAATGGCAATTGGCCTATAATTATCAGCATCATTAGAATCACCTTTTTTAAAAAGTGGCAATACCTTACTAATTTTAAGTTGGTTAGGCCAATTTCCTTCGATTATGCATTGGTTATATAAAATATTAAGTGGTTTAATGAGGGATTCTATAGAGGCCTTAATCATGGGACTACTGAGGCCATAGTAATCCGTGCATGGCGTATTTTTAATATGAAGTATAGCCTCTCTTACGTCAGATTCAGAGACTGGACCCATAAAAAACGAATACGGGGGCTTCGGTGTCATTTTAATAAAATCATTAGAGGAAATATTATTATCGTTTTCGATTGTTTGAATAACCTTCTCTGCTACATTGAAGTCTTCAGATGTTAGATTCGATGTACTGGATGATTTGTTGTTGGATTTTCTTTCTGCGTTTACAATATTCCAGATTGTTTTATTTTTATTTTCTGATGCAGCTATTCTCTTATTGTAAGCGTTACGTTTCTCTAATCTAATTGACCTCCTATAGTTTTTGCGCGATTCAGAATATAGTCTTCAATCTTCTAACGAATTGGTTTTTTTGAATCTAGATTTGTTTTGAAATACTTGATTTCGCTGTATCCGCAGTTCCTCATTAAACCACAAAATCTTTTTGTCGCCACTGCGAATTTTTTTTATGGAAAAGCATAGATCTACAATAGGACATAGAATAGTAAATATTATATTACAAATCTCCTGGGAGCAGTAATTTCCCATTTCTAGTCCATGCCAACTAATTTCAGATAACTTTTCTGCGAACTGTAAAATTGTACGTTCATTAATAAATCTTTTGTTGACATAACTGGTATCACTTAAAATATTAAAGTCTTTTATCTCCAAAAATAAAGTCAAATGGTCGGCTATGTCGGCATCAATGACTTTTGATATTATAACTTCCGGATTTATATTGGAAATAATATTGTCCAAACATGATTTAGAAGTGGGAGTTATTCTAGTTGGAACTGTGATGTAATGTTTCATACCATACATATTTAATATAATAATTAAATCAAGCGAATGCTAATTTAAACTATTAGAATCAACATTAAAATCACCGATAAAATTAGGTTTTTAAATTTTTTATATAAATAATTAAATTTAGAAAATACGTTTTGAATATTGATATGTCCCCATGGGAGGAGGATCTGTACACTGTTACTAAGGCATAATTTTTATTTATCAATTCTACACCACAGAATTCTGCATGAAAAGGCTGGCAAAATTTTGAAACATCAATAACTTTTAATGAAATATTATTCTTAGAAAAAAAAAACAATAATAATAATAATAATTAAAAACAATCAGAATTAAATTACAATCAATATTGCATAACTAAATTATTCACTTTCTGCCGCACTCTCTGCGCTACCGAAATGATAAATTAACGCTCTGCAGGTCTATCGTTATGTATCAAAATATATCTTTAACACAGTTAAACAAAAACTTAAACTGCCTATCATTTAAATATATGACAACACCGCAAAACGCTAATTGACGCCACAAAAGCGGTCAAATATACGTAAATTTGAATATTGGTGACGCTGCAATGTGTATCAATTGAAATGACGCCCAGGTGTCGATAAAGTAAAAGTAACGATTTGTGTTTTCCTTTCAATTTAATGTTATCCGCTTAATTTAAGCTGCTTCTTCCAACAGCAACGAGTATATATGTCTAAAATAAGTAGATCAAGGGTAAACAGACATGGGCGCTTTAAAGCGCATCTTTATCGGGACGCTTCAATGATACAGAGATGTAAATATATATATATATATATATATATATATATATATATATATATATATATACTTATTTATCTAAAATTTAAACTGTTGGACCAGCTAAACATAACCTAACCTTACTTGTTAAATTCTTCATGCATGCTATTGAATACAAGGCAGATGTAATAAGATTACCTTAACCAGTGAAAAAAATACCTTTCTAAATTATTATAATAACCATTAAACAATAAAAACCAAACCAACAATAATAATCACACGAAATATGAAGGTAGGTAAAATAAACGCATCCATCTTAATTATAATAAAATAGGGTATCGTAAAAACGAAATGAATTCTAGTTGCGAATTTCCTAAAAAGGGCACGGATTCTAACCTACATTGCATACAACCTATTTAACAATCTTAACGTGAATTTAACCACTGTCTTATTTAACTAAAGCCTATCAACCTTTTAAACTAATAAATTTAGGTTTTAAAGCTTACTTACCGCTTTTAATCCAAAATTGGCAAATGAAACTCATGCACACGACACAAACAAAACGAAAACAAACTATAAAATGGCCGATGACACCTGTGAGGGCAGAAAATATACGCGCCTGCGCTCGCGTTCATTGCCAATATTTATCTAGCGGATATCTGTGGGATATTGAATACAACTCACTAATTTTAAATTTCTATAAACCATACCTACGTGCTTTCTTAGTTATCACATGGCGTAATATTTAAGTAATTTAATAATTATTTTAATTTTAAATATTTTATTTTAATTTTAAATATCTAAACGGTACTATTAGCCACAATGGCGTAATTTTTTAATAATTTGTTATATAATTATTATTATTATTTATGGACATTTCATGTATATAAATTACATCTCATGGATATAAAATAGATATCCACCATGGACTGGACATTCAGTGGATATTGGGATATCCAGTAGATATCCAAAGGATTTGGTGTGTTGTCTGGGTGACGCATACAACTCAACAACTGGGCTGGGATAATATATGAGCGTAAGTTGGTGGGAGGCATATGTATTCCGCATCGGGCATTCCTCTCTTAACAGTTGTCTTTGTTTTAAGTATATTCCTTTTACACTTTGTCCAATTCATTGTAAAAGAGAAGGTCCGCGTTTAACTTTCCGTATATGTATGAAGCAGGGTAATTTGATGATCTATAAAATGCACGCTTAAAAATGAATTTACTGTTCATTTTAGAAATATGGGAAAACCTAGCAAATCCGCATTATCATTGAAAAAAGATTTCCGTTGATTTCACAAAGTATGCACCTTTTACAAATAATAGTTTAAATCAACGACGAAAAGTGTATAAATTATAAACTAGTCTGGACAATTGGCAATGCCAAGGCAAAAAAAAAACGACAGGAAACTACTAAAATATTTTATTTACAAAAATCGAATTGCAAACATTCACGGTGTCATCCACGTAGTTATTAAATTATTATGGGAGAGTATTGTCACAAGGATTGTTTATTGTTATAATTCGGCCTTGACTAAACATAAAGCTCTAAAACGCACAAAAGGCCTTCAAAATTACATTAGGGAAGTATATTTGCATATTTATTATCCGTTTAATATATTTTTCTCGTTACAACTATTATAGTTGTATAGTGTTTATCAGGAAAGTACGCAATTAATTTTGAAGTTTGCAAAGCAAGCGTAGTAGAAGTAAATGCTGATTCATTAATAAAACGCAAGTCGATCCTCAGATAAACATACTCGCACACAGCACCCCCACTCAAATTAGTATCTATCTCATTCTTTCTAATGCGGCAGCCGATGCGACAGCTCTGTCTGCGCAATAATACACACAATTTGAATGATTGAAATAAAAAAGGGCTTAATTATGAAGGAATGCTTTAGTCTAGTAGTTTTTCGTCGTTGGTTTAAAATTTAAATCATCCAAGCTGTAAGGCTCAATATAAATGTAAATTTGTTTGTCTTATTTTTGAAAACTGATAGATTTTTAGTTTTTTTTTTATTAAATTGGAAGCATATAGAATTGCAAACATTTGTAGCAGCATTTCTTTTTCAGTGAGGTAGGTCTGTGGTAGTTCAATATAGTAAAATTATTTCTAAACAGTATGCTGTGAAGGTGATCTGCTATAATATTCGTTGAATAAACTTTTGTTTTTTCATATGCATAACTAGCACATACTGTCAACAAATTTAGATTTCTAAAGAGATTTGTATTATAAAGACAGTCAAGGTGTGAACCTCCCCAAAAAATAAATCCATATCATATTGTGGAACCATTTTACACCGATATAAGATAACGTTTGATCAACCACTTTTTAAATTTGTTTCAAAGTAAAGCAAGCTCTCCCACAAAGTAAATGTAGATGTTCCACCTAAGTTAGATGCTCATCAATAATAACGCCGAGTAATTTTGTCGATTTAGAATATTCTAGCAGTGTATTCGTTACAGGGCATTCATTTTTATTACGACAGTGCTATAAAAATATACAATTAGTTTTAGATAGATTTAATAATAACGAGTTCTCACCAAACCATATTGAAATTCTTTCTACGGCATTCGAGGTATCTTTTTGTAGTACTTTGTAATAGTTTCTGGGTAGTAAGACATTTGTTTCATCGGCGTAATAATAGTGAGAGCCACAGCATCATTTGTAAAACAATAGTAAATCGTTAAGATATAATATAGTTGGTAAATTTTTTAAGTATTATATTTTATTTGAGGATTGGTAAGGAGTTGGTGCCGAGTTGTTGCTTGGGCTCTTAATATCCATTCCTATTTATTGGGTGATAATGATAAAAAAGAAAGTCAGGAAGGTGAACAAAATGGCAATAATCAACAGCAAAATCAACCCGAAGTTGGTGCTGGACTTGGAGCCGTCCACCAAGCTTTATTTATGATGGAACCTCCAATTGGTAATACAATATATTAATAACACATTTAGAAAACTAAAATATAAGGAACCCCACAGTTCCCTTATGACAAATGGCTTTCGATAGAATTGCTGAATTTTATATATGTTGCAGTTTAATTTGAACTTGTGAACTCTTCTATTTTTCAAAAATACCTTGTTATGTGACGTCATTTTATGACATTATTATGACGTCAATTTGTAACGTTACTATGACGTCATTTTTCACCAGAGATGTGACGTCAAAATGGCGTCATTATGTAGCGGCCCAGTGACGTCATTTTATGACATTATTATGACGTCAATTTGTAACGTTACTATGACGTTAGTTGTGCTTATAATAAACAGTCTTTATTATAAAATAATTACATTTAAAAAAATCATTAAAACTAAACATTAAACACCATGAATACTGGAAATAAAACTCCAGAAGTAGCTGAAAAATAATTACTGCAACAACAGTTCTTTATAAATAAATCAATTACTTCACATCCGTTGTTAAAGCATTTTGCAAACATAATTTTCTGTAGGGTGTCCAATAAACTTCTCTTCTTGGAGATGTTAATCAATTACGGTGCATTAAAGCCAGGGCACCTTCACAGTCATCCGAAAATTGTATTACTACTATATATCATGTATGCAATCACTAAAAGATAACCATTTGTATGATCTAAAATACATAACGTAAGGAATATCTTACCTCATAACAAAATTAAGACTAAAAAGTCACTTTTTTGCAACACAGCGTTAACGCCATGTTCATCTTAACATAACCCAACTTTTTCTTCTTTTCTCTTCTTCCTATTTATTATTTGTCCCTCACCCTATCAGCGACCAGCCATCAAAATAAAAAAATTGAACGATCAAACGAACAGTTGGAGTTCGATCGTAATTATGATAAGCGCCTCGCCGAATAGATCACTAAAGGTGTTTAACTTTGTAGTGCATGCTCTTTTGTGCTACTTGCCCACTATTTTTAAAGGAAAAGAAGAAGTTATTTCGTGTTGTGGTATCACTTGCCTTCATGTGGTACCTACTATGGTGGTAAACCTGACTCTTCATTATGCTTTACTTTTGCAATATTTTAAAAAGTGGCGGGTATTTTCAATCGTCAAATTTTGTCAGAGAACGAATTCTGTCTTCATTTTTGGGAGGGAGTGATCTATTCGGCGAGGCGCTTATCATAATTACGATCGAACTCCAAGTGTTCGTTTGATCGTTCAATTATAATAAGCGCCTCGCCTCTAGATCACTAAAGGTGTTTAACTTTGTAGATGTTTAAAGTAACAATAAAATATTGCTTTTTTTTTTTTTTTTTTTTTTTTTAAATATATATTATAAAGAAACAAACACAAAAACTATAATCCTAGGCCTAATAGCCTTTTGACATATCTAAGTTATTGTAAAAACAGCTTCAATTAAACTTTTAGACATTATCGGTCTATTATAAAATTTTCCAAATACCAAGGATCTTTCAGACCAACCAACTGTTGTCCTAATTTGATCCCAAGATATACCTTGTTCAAAGGCCTTTGTTGCTATTGCTATTGTAGCTCTTGAAACATTTGTATATGGTTCTGTTGATCTAATAAAAAGGTAAGGCGAATCTTCTTGGGTTATCCGCAATTCCGCAGTTCGTTCCACATAGGCAATTAATGAGGAGACCAAACATATCTTAGACCTATCAGGGAAATAAGCCATTTCTAAACAGGGTTGAAAACTATTTAGTCTTGATGTTTTTATATTGTCAGATATAAATATTCTTACTCCGGTCGCAGTGAAAACTATATTTTCGGTTCTTATTAATTGCAGTGTTTGCAAGCGGTGCCCTGTTGCAAGAGCTAAAAGCGTGGCAAGTTTCTTAGATAACTCAAATAATGACAAATCATAATTGTTTTCCAGTTGTTCTAGATATTGTAAAACCACTTGAGGATCCCAAGTAACTTTATATTTAGGTCGTGGAGGGTTCAGTCTGTAAGCTCCCTTCAGGAATCTTTTAATTTGCATATTTTTACCTACCTCACCTGGTAAAATCAGTGACAACGCTGATCGATGTTGATTTAGTGTGCCATATTTACTGCCCTTATTTTTTAGTTCCTCTTGTAAGAAGGATAAGATTGTTGAAGCGCTTGCATTAAATAAGTCATGATCCCATTTTTGGCAGTATGTCCACCAAGCTCTGAAGGAAGAGTTGTACTGGTTAATCGTAGATTTTGATAATGACTGCAGAGTCGTATCTATGGTATCTTCTGGGAAACCTTGTTTTCTCAGTGAGTCCAAGATAATTTTGCGGCTACCAGGGAAAGTGAGGAATGTAGAGGATGTTCTCGTCTAAAAGGAGAAGAAAGTAATGTAATATCTGGTTCTAACACTACCTTAGTTGAAGAAACTAGTTTTTGAAACAATGGATACCAAACTTGAGTGGGCCAATCTGGCACTACAACAATGCCTTCTGCTTTATCAGCTACTATTTTATTAAGAACTCTCAAAATTAAGGAAAAAGGAGGAAAAGCATAGAAAAATATACCTTCCCAGCTAAATGTAAAAGCATCCACTGCAACCGAGTCAGGATCTTTGTGCCATGAAACATACCTTTCACATTTGTGATTTGTTTAGAGGCAAATAAGTCAATTTCTGCAGTACCTAATTGGTTTTTAATTAAGGAAAAAGCTGCACGAGACAATTCCCACTCGGTTTCAATGGATACCATACGTGAAGGTTCATCTGCTCTGTTTTGAGCCGATTGAATATATGAAGCAAAAATCCACAAATTTCTGTTTTCACACCATTGCCAAATTTGCCTAGATACTTTATTTAATTCAACGTGTTGAACACTTCCCATCTTATTAATGTAAGCAATTGCAGTTTAGCCCAATCGGATTAGGTGAAAAACAGGCTTGAGATTCTGAAAAATTCGAAGCAGCAATTTTCCTTCGGAATTCGTTGGAGGGGGTCTGTGGTAGTCTAAATTCAAAAAGTTGGGATTCCAAAGTTATCGTTACCTCCGCCAGCTTGATTTAAAGGGTTATTTTTTGTATCTTGAATAACTCATTTATTTTCAATTTTACACGGAAAATAGTTTTTACAAAAGTTATTTATAATTAAATTTCCTACAATTCTGCTTTTTTTTTGTACGATCGATTTTTTTCGATTTATACCCGAAAAGAGGGGGTGAATTTTTGGTTATAGAATAACTCGTTTATTTTCAATTTTACGAGAAAAATTGTTATAAACAAAGTTGTTTAAAATTAAATTTCCTACAATTCTGTTTTTTTTGTACGCTCGATTTTTTTGTATTTATCCCTGAGAAGAGGGGGGTAAACTCTTAGAAAAAATCGGAATCATAATTGTACCAAATAACATTTTTGAAAATCAGCAAAAAAAAAACAGAAAAAATAATGGTACAACATCAATAATAAACGTGACAATACAATACTTAGGTTCACCCCCACTCTTCTCAGGGATAAATACAAAAAAATCGATCGTACAAAAAAAAACAGTATTGTAGGAAATTTAATTTTAAACAACTTTGTTTATAACAATTTTTCTCTTAAAATTGAAAATAAACGAGTTATTCTATAACCAAAAATTCACCCCCTATTTTCGGGTATAAATCGAAAAAATCGATCGTACAAAAAAAAAAGCAGAATTGTAGGAAATTTAATTTTAAACAACTTTGTTTATAACAATTTTTCTCGTAAAATTGAAAATAAACGAGTTATTCTATAACCAAAAATTCACCCCCTATTTTCGGGTATAAATCGAAAAAAATCGATCGTACAAAAAAAAGCAGAATTGTAGGAAATTTAATTTTAAACAACTTTGTTTATAACAATTTTTCTCGTAAAATTGAAAATAAACGAGTTATTCTATAACCAAAAATTCACCCCCTCTTTTCGGGTATAAATCGAAAAAAATCGATCGTACAAAAAAAAAGCAGAATTGTAGGAAATTTAATTTTAAACAACTTTGTTTATAACAATTCTTCTCGTAAAATTGAAAATAAACGAGTTATTCTATAACCAAAAATTCACCCCCTCTTTTCGGGTATAAATCGAAAAAAAATCGATCGTACAAAAAAAAGCAGAATTGTAGGAAATTTAATTTTAAACAACTTTTTATATAACAATTTTTCTCGTAAAATTGAAAATAAACGAGTTATTCTATAACCAAAAATTCACCCCCTCTTTTCGGGTATAAATCGAAAAAAATCGATCGTACAAAAAAAAGCAGAATTGTAGGAAATTTAATTTTAAATAACTTTTGTAAACACTATTTTCCGTGTAAAATTGAAAATAAATGAGTTATTCAAGATACAAAAAATAACCCTTTAAATCAAGATGGCGGAGGTGACAACTTTGGAATCCCAACTTTTTGAATTTAGACTACCAGAGACCCCCTCCAACGAATTCCGAAGGAAAATTGCTGCTTCGAATTTTTCAGAATCTAAAATACTAATCCGATTGGGCTAGTTGTATTATCTACTCTCAACAAAATGTTTGTATTTTCTAAATTACTCCCAAAACACTTTAAAGCATAAAAAACGGCTAGCAATTCAAGGATATTAATATGTTTCGTAGCAAATGAGGCTGGCCACCACCCATGGGTTGTATTGCCATTACAGTATGCTCCCCACCCAGTATTCGACGAGTCTGAGTATATTTCTAATGAAAAACGGTCCTCTCTTATATTATTTTTTTGCCAGAGGGGCCTGCTTTTTCCACCATTTTAAATCCTGTTTTATTGCCTTTGATAAAGTCATTTGTCCCTCATAATTTTGGTTACATTTTATTAGTGCTTTAAATTTTTCACGTTCAAATATCATTGTATAAAGTTTTCCATATTTGAATCCAGGGCAGGCTGCAACAAGGATACCAATAAATTGGGCAAAATCTCTTATTTTGATAGTATTTTTATTTTCTAATCTTTTGATCCATTTTAATATTTTTTGTCGCTTTTCAAGGGTTATTTCTAAAGTCATATCCACAGAATTGAATATGAAACCTAAATAAGTACACTTTTGAGTTGTCAATAAATTGCTTTTTTCTCTGTTAATAATAAACCCTAACGACTGAAGCAAATCCAAAGTATAATTTATTGATATCTCGCATTCCTGCCTTGTATCCAAAAATCATCTAGGTAAATAACACATTCCACCCCATTTTCTCGTAATTTTCCTACTACAGGTCTCATAATTTTTGTATAAAGTGATGGCGCTGTTGACAAACCAAAAGGAATTACATTAAATTGATAAAAGTTGGTCCCTACTGTAAATCTTAGAAATTTTTTATGTGAAAAATGAATGCGGATTAGAAAGTATGCATCTTTAAGATCAAGAGTGCACATAAAACAATTTAATTTGATAAGCCTTAAGACTATTCTGCTATCCTCCATCTGAAAATGAGGTGGTTTAATAAAAGTATTCGACTTTTTTAGGTTCAAAATAAACCTCTTATCTCCATTACTTTTGTCTACCAAAAAATAATTTGACAAAAATTGGCCTTTCTCAATTAATTCTGACAGTGCCAAAAGTATGTCAGATCTAATATTTTGTGATGATGTCTTAAATGTGCAAAAAAAGGAATTCTATAACCTTTTAGACATTTTTCTACATCAGATGTAATACATAAAAGAGTAGACCATTCATTGTAAAAATATTCTAATCGTCCACCTATATTTACCTGTTCTATTTTTTGGTCCTTTCTCTTTTCTTGTTCTGGTTGTAATGGTTGTATTGCCTTTGAGGGTATGCCCCTTTCCGTTGAGGTGCCCTCTGATACCTCACTGGGGCCCTGAAGTTTAAATTCGTTTTAGTTTTTTGAATGGGATTCTGCCGAAAAACATTCCCAGATCTTTCTAAAACTCGTGCCATTTTAATTTTTTCCCCTACATTAGGGCCAAATAAGGAACGTCCTATAGGCGTTTTTTAGACAACTTCTTTAATACCTTTGTTGTTTAATGCTGGCATTATTTGTGATCTACGGGACAAGGACATTCGGTAGTATAAATCACAAAAAAATTTGGCTGAGCCACTCAGGGCTGATAAGATCTCCTCTCTGGTCTCCCCCTCTACTGGCTCATTTTTTATCAAAATATTCAGAACAGATCCCAAAATCGACAAACCTTTACCAAGTTGGGTCTGCCTCTTTTCTAGGAACATGTCATTCCTAATTGTAAAGTCAGTCAAGGCTGCTTTTATTTCAGGATTTAACTCGGGGGCTTCAAGCTCCAATAGATTGCAAGGTAATCCATACTTAGTAAGAAGATCAGTCTTCTCCTCTTTTTGTAGGCCTGTTTCAATTGTCTTCAACCAACAATTCCTAATCACTGTGTGTAGCTCATATTGGTTCCCAGACTTTTCTTCCATTCCTAGAATTTTCAGTATCGAATGGTCAAGCTTCCCTTCATCCACTAGAGTATCGATTTGTGCAGAGTTTACATTCTCGATATCAGAATCAATAAAGGGGCTCCCTGCTATAGAAATCTCTGGTTCTGAGAACTCACTAACAGAGTCATCTGCTGCAGCATGCACATCAGCTTGTACCTGGATGCTTTTAACATTTTTAGATGTTTTTGCCATACCAACAGAGTGATGGTCTTTTGTATTTCTATTTCTAGTTGTGTTTGCCATATGAACAGGGTGATGGTCTTTTGAAGGATTTCTAGACATTTTTACCATACCGACAGGGTGATGGTCTTTTGAATGAGCCCTCAATGGACTTTGAGATGGTCTCGAACTGGAGCGTCTCGATGTCGGAGTACAAGAAACCCTACAGGGGCTTCTAGAAATGGCCGACTCTGAGTAGGAACACGAACTGCGTCGTTCTAATTTTCCCTTCAGGCGCTCGATCTCTCGTTTTAAATCATGTCGAGACCTCTTTTGCGGTCGTCTTTCTCTCGATCTGGAACGTGATCTTTTACCCATATTTGTCCTAAAACAGAAAATATTTAATTTTAATAATCGTAAAAAAAATAAACGAAGTGGGCGTTTTCGCACTAAAAAGCATAATGAAGAGTCAGGTTTACCACCATAGTAGGTACCACATGAAGGCAAGTGATACCACAACACGAAATAACTTCTTCTTTTCCTTTAAAAATAGTGGGCAAGTAGCACAAAAGAGCATGTACTACAAAGTTAAACACCTTTAGTGATCTAGAGGCGAGGCGCTTATTATAATTAACAATATTTTCTTGAAGTGCTACAAAAAATTGTTTTTGTCATTTTGGAAAAATAAAATCACCAACTTTGTTGGCACTTTAATTAAATTAAAATGTATGATCAAAATATGACGTATATATAAGTGAACAAAAATACGTGCCACGTTAATACATTTATGACGTTTCCGAGAAGTAATTTTTAGGTGATGACGTCTGAGCTTATCCCCAAAAAATGACGTCGCGGTGACATCAGTGTTCTATCTGAGAATGGCAAATTTACCATAAAGAGAACTAATATACAGTATGGTTCAAATGAAAGGAATAAATGCATTATAATGGAAGTAGTTGGTTTTTCGAAAAAATGCTCGGACAGGTCAATTTTGTTTACTCAAAGCGCAATTTTTTAAATAGAATTCAATTTTACCCCACTTTCCATTTTTGGGCAGTGACGTCATTGACAATTTTTTTAAATAGTAACACCAATTTATTTTTCTTAATTTTGATAGATCTTGCAATTTCCTACTCGGAAACATAATATTTGAAATATCTTACATGACAATTTTTTTTATAAAAGTCATTTAAATATCAGACACATAAATTTTATTTTATTTTGAGAACACAATAAATGAATAAAAGATAATTATTTGTAATTAAGTGCTTAATCTAACAAAATAATAATAATAATAATTAATAATAATAATAATAATAATAATAATAATTAATAATAATAATAATAATAATAATAATAATAATAATAATAATAATAATAATAATAATAATAATAATAATAATAATAAATAATAATAATAATAATAATAATAATAATAATAATAATAATAACAATAACAATAACAATAACAATAACAATAACAATAACAACAACAATAACAATAACAATAACAACAACAATAACAATAACAATAACAATAACAATAACAATAACAATAACAATAACAATAACAATAACAATAACAATAACAATAACAATAACAATAACAATAACAATAACAATAACAATAACAATAACAATAACAATAACAATAACAATAACAATAACAATAACAATAACAATAACAATAACAATAACAATAACAATAACAATAACAATAACAATAACAATAACAATAACAATAACAATAACAATAACAATAACAATAACAATAACAATAACAATAACAATAACAATAACAATAACAATAACAATAACAATAACAATAACAATAACAATAACAATAACAATAACAATAACAATAACAATAACAATAACAATAACAATAACAATAACAATAACAATAACAATAACAATAACAATAACAATAACAATAACAATAACAATAACAATAACAATAACAATAACAATAACAATAACAATAACAATAACAATAACAATAACAATAACAATAACAATAACAATAACAATAACAATAACAATAACAATAACAATAACAATAACAATAACAATAACAATAACAATAACAATAACAATAACAATAACAATAACAATAACAATAACAATAACAATAACAATAACAATAACAATAACAATAACAATAACAATAACAATAACAATAACAATAACAATAACAATAACAATAACAATAACAATAACAATAACAATAACAATAACAATAACAATAACAATAACAATAACAATAACAATAACAATAACAATAACAATAACAATAACAATAACAATAACAATAACAATAACAATAACAATAACAATAACAATAACAATAACAATAACAATAACAATAACAATAACAATAACAATAACAATAACAATAACAATAACAATAACAATAACAATAACAATAACAATAACAATAACAATAGCAATAACAATAACAATTATATGGAAAAGTAGGTCAGGTAAAAAATATTCGCAAAATAAGAGAAGGATTACTTATTGAAACTAACAGCGCAGCACAATCGAGACAAATATCTAAACTTACGAAATTCTTAGAATACGATATCGAAGTCAAAGCACATTCCACCCTTAACAATGCCAAAGGAGTGATAAATTGTAGAGACCTTTTGAATTGCACAGAACAAGAAATTTTGGATGAACTAGAAGGACAAGGTGTTATAGATGTAAGACGTATTAAAACAAAAAAAGAGGGTAAACTCGTTGATACCCCGATTCACATCCTAACATTTAATACACCGAAATTACCACAACAAGTTAAAGCAGCTTTTTATAATCTCAAAGTTCGCCAATTTATTCCATCCCCATTACGATGTTTTAAATGTCAAGGTTTTAGCCACACGGCAACAAGGTGCACTAAAGAGCAAATATGTGTATGCGGAAAATCTCTTCACGTGGGCAGCCAATGCCAACCACCAGTAAAGTGTATAAACTGCAAAGGAGATCATTCCGCAAGATCTAAAGACTGTCCAATATACAAACAAGAAGTAGCGATACAAGAGATCAAAGCAAAAGAGAATATATCCTACACTGATGCCAGAAAGAAAATTATTATACCCACCCCAAAACCAAATATTTCCTTTGCTCGAGCCATTGCCCCTCCGATTATACCTAAGTTAAATACCAAAGAATTGGTACAAGAATTAATTCCCCATTTAGTAAGTGCACTCAGTGCTTTCTATACTCCCCCTCCCGTATTTGTACAACCCACAATACCTGCACAATCCAAAAAATTACCTTTACCGGATCCTGGCTGTCCCATACAGAAACGATATAGAACTGATAGTTCGGATATTGAATCTGTAACCAGCGAGGCGGGTTCATCAGCCCAGAAAACAAAGACTGTCAAGAAACCTAAACGTGGACGTGGTTGGAAAAAAGGAAGATCCCGAAAGCCAAAAGACAGTAATAACTCTCAAAGTTTGGATGATTTACCTTCCTCGGAAGAGGAAAACCAGGAGATGGACCTACAGGACCCAATCCAAAAACTTCCGGATCCAATCCAAAAACTTCCGGATCCAATCCAAAAACTTCCGGATAATTCTACCCCTACTTAAAATTTACTATTTTTTATACTATATACTTTATTTTTACAAACATATATACATATTATACATATATATCATTTACACATATTTATTTACATTTTTCAATTTTTCATTTATCTATTAGGTACTTTTTATTATTGTGCTGTCCCATTTTACAAAAAAATTAAATTATTAACTAATGGACACTATTTTACAATGGAACTGTAATGGATGCATAAATAACCTGTTTCAGTTAAAACTGCTTACAGTAAACACAGCACCCTTCTGTATATGTCTACAAGAGACTCACTTTAAACCAGACACAAAATTTTCATTAAGAGGCTACAATATATACCGAAAAGATATAATTCCCAACTTAAGAGCAAGAGGAGGAATTGCTATTCTTCTTAAAGACAACATTCCAATAAATAATATTCGAATACAGTCCAGACTTCAAGTAATTGCTGTACAAATTTTGTATCCACTAAAAATTACAATATGTAATATATATTTACCTGACATTTATTGGAATTCTGATGACCTAAAAGATATAATTAACCAGCTCCCAACTCCATTTATCATTGTAGGGGACTTTAACTCCCACAATCCACTCTGGGGTTCTGATAGGTTAGATACACGAGGAAGAACAATTGAAGAACTCATCAATGAATTTGACCTTGTTCTTTTAAACACCGGAGAAGGAACATATTTTAATTCTAGATCTAATACTTTTAGTCGGTTAGATCTATCAATGTGCTCTGCAGGAATCGCCCACAACTTTAGATGGACTGTACTTCAGGAACAGCTCTTTACAGATCATGCCCCTATACAAATTAATTGCAGTACTCGTCTTGCACCACACACTATCCCCAAAAGTTGGAAAATAAAAAAGGCTAACTGGGAAAAATTCCAAACTCAACTGGTGCCATTAGAACTAAAACAAACAATAAATGATTCCGTAAAAGAAATAACAAACAACATTATATCAAAATCAAGAAAAAAAATTGTGGTTACTATTTAAAAAAATTGTCAATGACGTCACTGCCCAAAAAAGGGAAGTGAAGGAAAATTGAATTCTATTTAAAAAATTGCGCTTTGAGCAAACAAAATTGACCTGTCCGAGAATTTTTTCGAAAAACCGACTACTTCCATTATAATGAATTTATTCCTTTCATTTGAACCATACTGTATATACTAATGTTGATTAGATATGATGATAGAAAACGTACCTATGAAGAAGTAAGTCACCTGTTTATCGATTTAAATCCTCAAACTCCTATAAGTAGATGTACGGTTTCGAGAATAATCAATAAAGAACCACAGGTGACGATTAACAATACGGACACAACAATTTTCGCATATCTTAATGCAAATGATACTACTTACTAGACAGATATTGCAAATTTTTATAACGCCAGCCTTAATAGTGACATCGTAATTAGAGTCAAATAAATTCCATGCTAAAATCAGACTTATTGCAAACTTGAAATTTTGACATTAGAATCCTTGTCCTTATACTTATGTCTAACCTCAGTTTAATAACTTTAAATTACAGTTTATCTTTTTTGTTGTATATAATAGTACATAATATTGAAGAGGCATTAGAAATTATAATTTTAAAAGGTTTAGATGACGATTATATTAAATATTTAATATAAAAAAAACTTCGAACGGATACGAATGTCGGCGAGCGCACCCGAAAGTTATAAAATCGCCACTACCTGCTGCCCTTAAACATCCACAAATAAGGACAGACACAATCTTTAATAAACTCAGTTTTAGAACATAAACGATCTGCGCATGCTTAGATGTCAAAATAAGAGCGGCACTAATAGTGACTGACCTTATGTGAACTTGCAATAACTCTACTATTTTTGATCAATTTAACTGCGGAGTTAGGGCCCTATTCAGTAATTTATCGTTTATGGACGACATCGTTAAGCTAACGACAGTTCAACCAACGACTTTTATAACGATAATTTTTGAAACTCTATTCAATAATAAAGTCGTTACGTTGTTTCTAGTTACCAAATCTGAACGATGATTTCTAGTAAGTTGGTATTATAATTTAGTGTTTTGTGATAAAAGAAGGTATGTTAATGATTATACCGGGTGTTTAAATTAAAGTGTTTCAGTTAAATATCGCCGAAATATGCATTTTATAAAAAAAAGTAGCAGACAAAAGTTTTATAGTTTTTTAGGGGAAACATTTTGGCTAAATTAATTTTTTTATAGCTGACCATAATATGCCCATATAGAGGTGGATTTTTTTTTCAAATTGGAACCCTATTTTTTACATAGGTATTCTTAGAGTTCATAAAAAAATAAGAAACTTCTAAAGGAAACATTTTTTTATTGGATTTCTACTTATTGAGTAACACCTACTTGAAAATTTTTCTGCGCGAAAAAAGTTGGCCATATTATGGTTAGCTATAAAAAAAAACGATTTTAGCCAAAATGTTTTCCCCAAAAAAATATAAAACTTTGTTTTTTTTATAGAAGGAGGTATTTAACTGTAACACTTTAATTTGAACACCCGGTATATTTGACATTTTTTTGGAACGTAAAATAAAAATTCTACCAGTAGTTATATTCATTTGTTTTTCAAAATATATTAATTATTGTTCTTAACCTACAAAATGATCAGGGGGTCGATTCTCGGTTCGTAGGAATTCTGTTTCTCGCGGGCCATTTTTGCTGGTCGTCTTGTATGTAGGGTTTATTTAAATGAGTAGGGATATATTAAAAAAAAAAACAGAACTATTCCAAAAGATTACAAAAAAACAATCGAGAACAGTACAAAAGTTGTATTTATTGGATTTGAAAGACAAACCAAATTTGATACTATCAATCCTTTTTCCTGATTATCTTTTCTGTTGATGTCATCGGCTTCGACAACTCAGGCCATTAGCCTCGTTTTCTGTGTAGGTTACGAAGAAGTATTATTTAGGTATAAGAGGTACTTCCATAATATAGGTTTTGTTACAGTTACAGTGCTACTTTAGGAACAGCACTGTTAATAAGAATCCAATAGTAAATGGTCGAATGGACAATCCTAACTTTGAATCAGATTTATTTTTAAAATAATTAAGGCTGATTCCACCGTTGTGTTAAACTGAGATTAAAATGACACTGTTAATGTAAAAATGTCATTTTAAACTTCGTTTAACACAACGGTGGAATCGGTCCTAAATAAATTCCTTACAAATTATACTTGCTGTATTCGCTCCGTGCGAAGTCATGGAAAGGGAAGCAAAAGCGATACTAGCGCTAGCTGCGGATAATTCGTGCATTTTAGGGGGATATTTTGTAATTTTGGCATATCAAATACACGTATACATTTTACTTTTTTTCAAAAAAGTAGGTAAAAACAACACAATAAGCAACCGGAGTTGCTGTGTTGAAAATTGTACAAATACTAGCAAAAAAAACAGTGAAACTTATTGTAGTGTAACCAACTGTAATAAAGAGAGACAACTTAAATAATATCTCTCTCTCTCTTTTATAAAAGTATGATAAATAAAGTGGCGGCGTGATCGACTATGAAGTGACTAGGACACCACGAGTGACAGACTGCAAGATTCGTTATCTATTGGCTACTTACGTGTTATTGAGGGAGTGGTAAAGGTTAAAAGAAAACATGTATTGATTTATATCTAATCTTTATTGAAAATATTATGACAGAATCAGAATGTAAAAATTTATAAGTATATAAAATATATTTTTATAAAGATTAAATATAGGTCTGGTTCGGTGCAATAAAAAATAATTAGTTTATCATATGAGGGGAAAGAACCAGCAAGAAAACCCCAAAGTTATAATAAATACAATAAAACCAATCAAGCGTCAATTGGGATACAAATGACAAATTAAGTATATATATAAAAAAAAACACATTTAATTACTTGATGTTTTAGTTAGACAGAAAAATATATGAAATAATATTCAATTTAGGTTATACACAGGAAAATATATGAAATAATATCCAATACATTATGTATAAAAAAAACAATATTTAAGGCTGCAAGGCAAAAATAAAATAAATATTTTAAGAACAATAACTCATCAGATAACAAACATTGAGCATTACTAGGTTCAAACACACTCGATGCAAAACTGAAGAAGGTTTATTAGGGACAAGGTAATGGGGAAGCTCTACAGCTTTACTACCCACCTAAAGTTGAATATTCTGGTGACAAAATCAGGTAAGTTACCGGGACACCTATCCCGATGTTGTCCCAGCCACGGGCGGAAAATTTTAGTATCAATCAACAAGGCATTTTATACTTTTAACCTAGATCTGCCAATGCTGTGAATATCTGATGTTAGGAAAACCACATAATTTACTAATATATTACTTTTCCCTTGCCGAACTTTAAAAATGACTAAAAAATAATCTCAATGTCAAATAAAAATTATAGCAAATTTTCCTTGGTATAACTACAAAATATCAATAAACTTCAAAAATATTTAAATTAAAATATTAAAAGGGTGCTATTTTTCACTGATTTAGATAGCAAAATAAGTCATAAAATCAAATAAACTCGTAATTGGAATGCAAGCAATTTTTTATGACAGATACAAAAAATGCTATCAAGAAAAAAACATGAAATTACTTATAACAGTGAAATTCAAATCTAAACAGTGAACCATCAACTAGTTAAATAATATAAAAGTAATTCAAACATAATAATTGATTTAAAAAGGCACTTACATTTTTATCACAAATAAAACTAACAAAAACCTACACCTTTTTAACAATCGCGACATTCCATTCCCTCTACGTTCAAAATCTGACATTCCATAATAATCCCCGTTCCTATGCGATGATTCCCTGCTTTTGTTTCCGCGCATCCACGACTTTGGTTCCATTCAACAGGGACGGAATTAAATACGATCCCTTTCATTATATAACAAATTTCACTAACAAAGTGGAAATTAAATCAAAGAAATAAATGGATAGGTATACAATAAGAAGAAAAATTACCTTTATTTTTGTGATAATAACAGTAATGCTGGAAATAGTAGAC